ATATGTTTTGAAAATGCCATAATGAAACCCATTACCTCGTATGCTAGCTTAAAAAAACTAATGCAAAAAAAAAAAAAAAAAAAAGCCAGGCGTGGTGGCGACATTCACCCCAAGCCCAGCACGCATGAGGCAGAAGGTTAAACAACATGAATGTTGGTGTTCCAGGACAGCCAGGGATATGTAGGAAAACCCTATTTCAAGAAAGAAAAAAATGCACGTTTGGAGCGGGGGTTTATTTGTTTTAGCACTGGTGGTTCTTTTTTTCTAATATTTTATTATTTATTTTTATCTTTCATTTTAAAATAGAAGTTGCTAGATTGTTTATTTATTTTTTGAGAAAGGGTCTCCCTGTAGCTACAGCTGGTTTGGAACTTGCTATGAAGACCAGGACGACCTTGATCTTACAGAGATCTGTCCGGCTCTGCCTCCCAAGTGCTAGGATTAAATACGTGCACCATCACCCCCTGCTATTATTTTTTGTTCTATGTGTATGAGTGTATTGCCTGCATGTATGTAAGCGCATCCGTGTCATGCAATCGGAAGGCAGCTCTGGACCCCCCCGCCAGACTGGAGTTACAGATGGTTGTGAGCCATGTGGTTGCTGGAAATTGAACCCGGGTCCTCTGCAAGAGCAGCCAGTATTCTTAACTGCTGAGCCATCTCTGTAGGCCTCACCGGTGGTACTTCCTTGGCAAGAATACTTACTTGACACTAACACTTTAAGTAGCACATGGAAATGGGGTATTATTTGAATTCTTGGTTTTGAGTGTGAGTCAAGGTCTCATTATGTAACCCTAGCTGGCCTACAAGTTGCTCTGTAGGCCCCACCAGGGCCCACCGTATTTTTAATTAAAAAAAACTACTACTATTATTGTGTGTGCTTGTGTGCCATGCAGCTTCTGTGGAGGTCGGAGGGCGACCTTGTGATCCGTTCTCTCCTTCCACCTTTTTCCAGGACCGGAACTCAGGTTGTCAGGCTTGTGCAGCAGGTACCTTCACCCCCAGCCATCTAGCGGGCCCTTGGTATTATTTTTTAAGATGATAGGTGTGCCAGTAAGAAAGGATTTTGTTCTGGGTTTTGTTGTTTTAGCAAATTAAGCTTGCCATTGTAGAGATTCACACAGAGACCCCTGCAGTTCTGATACATTAGACACTGCTGATTCAGCAAGTGGGGTACTCTGTACACTGGTGAGGACTGAAGCTTACTTTAACCAAGGCTTTCAAACGTCTGTGTGAACTGGATAGGAAGTGGTGAGCCCAGTTCCTTACAGCAGGAGGAACGCTGGAGGGAGCTGGACCAAAGGCAGGGTGGGCCCACCACAGAGGCTGGGGTCTGCAGAGCCCTGTGTGGGCTGGGAGGGGAAACTCAGGAAATATGCTGCTTGGAAGCACATCTCCACACACCACTTTGACCCCACCATCTTTCTGAAAACAAGCAGGGTGGCTGATCTTCAGAGAGCTTCTTAGACACAGTTCTAGACCTGCCTCTAAGCAGCCCCAGCAGCCCTGGGTCCCTCCGTGTGCTGAGACCCAGGGGCCATAGCCATGGCCGGGTGTTTGGCCTTTACTTTGTATTGTTTTAAAACATCAGGATGGAGGAAGCTGCTTCCACTGGGAGTGGGTGCCAGTGAGGCCAATCTGGCAGCAACGGCTCTGGTCGCAGTGCTATGGAGAAGGGAAACTGCACAAGGCTTCGAAGCTCGGGCAGCAGACATTAGTGCTGTATGCCACGCTGGACCACAGCAGAGGCAACAAAGTCTAAGGGACTGGGGCAGTCTCGCAAGGATAAGAGGTAGCAGTTAGTGGGGCCGGGACAGACCTCCAAAGGTGGACTCAGATGGTGGTCATTTGAGTCTGAGCAGAGCTCAGCACGCTGGCCTACAGTCAAGTCCAGCAATAGAATCAACCTCAAGAACTTGATAGGCCCCGACTCAGACAAGTGATCACCACCTTCCAGACCCTGCCAGAGCAGGGGAGCTAGGTGCCCTCCCCGCCAAGTCTAGGTGCTTTCCTCTTGGGTCCCAGCCGTGCCCTGCCCTCCCATTGAGATGTACATTTCAGTACAACATTCATCCCCAAGCACTTGTATTCCTCCCTCATTTTTACCCCTGGCTTTCTGGGAGCCTAGGACTAATCTTGCTCTTCACCTGCCCCAAGGGCTATGTGTTTGGTGCCTGTCACTTAAAAGGAAACTAGATAGCTTCTGTCTCAACTCCAGGCCTTCTCATTCCCCACACCCTGCTGCCCCCCTGGCTCTTTCCTGACCCCTCCCTTCCTTCCCTCAGGTGCCCAGCTCCATTCTCTGTCCTTTGGCTCACACCCACAGCAGCCAGATTGGACTCTCCTTCAGGGTTAATTTAGATTATTTTTAATTTTTAAATCTATTCTTTTGTTTACCTGAGCCTGTGCCCCCATGACTGAGGACCAATGACATCATGTCATCCAGCCAGCCCAAGCAGAAGAGCCCCGATTCTCAGACCTCATTCAGCTGCCTGATTGCTGTCCTCTGACCACTCCAGAGTATTGTTGGGGGACTCAAGATCTTGGGGAAGAGAGAATGGATCTTCACAGATGGGGGTGGAGGGGAACAATGAGCCTTGAGAAATGGCTTTAAGCCAGGTGTGGTGGTGCAGGCCTTTAATCCCAATGCTTGGGGGGCAGAGGCAGGCAGATCTCTGAGTTCAAGGCCAGCTTGGTCTACATAGTGAGGTCAGGTCAGCTGGGGATACAGGGAGAACCTGTCTCAAAATAAACTTAGATAGATAGATGATAGATGATAGATAGATAGATAGATAGATAGATAGATAGATAGATAATAGATAGATAGATGATAGATAGATAGATGACAGATAAATAGATAGATAGATGATAAACAGGAAAACCAAGTGGGAAATGTGCAGATTGAATTCCCGCCACAGGGGATTCTTAGGAGTTCTACATTCTGTATAGTTTTGTTTTTCGGTCTTTTTGTGACAGGGTCTCCCTGTAGCCCCAGCTGTCCTGGAACTATGTAGACCAGGCTGGCCTTCAACTCAGAGATCTGCCTGCCTCTGCCTCCCAAGTGCTGGGACTACAGGCGTGCGCCACCACGTCCAGCTTTGTATAGTTTTTTAAAATATTTCACTCATTATTTTGTGTGTATGAGTGTATTGCCTGCATGTGTAAGTGCACTGTGCCATGCAATGCCTGAAGAAATCAGAAGAGGTTGTCAGATTTCCCTGGAACTGGAGTTACAGATGGTTGTTAGCCATGTAGGTACTGGGAGTCGAATCCAAGTCCTCTGCAAGAGCAGCCAGTGCTCTTAACCGCTGCGTCATCTCTCCAGCCCATTCTTTTTGCGGGGAGGGGCATCCTTTTGAGACAGGAGCTCCCTGTAGTCCCAGCTGACCTGGAAATAGCTATGTAGACCAGGCTGGTCTTGAACTCAGAGATCCGTCTGCCTCTGCCTCTGGAGTGCTGGGACTAAAGGCGTGCGCTACCATGTCCGGCAGAAAAAAAAATTAAAAAAAAATTTTTTTTGTATGTATGAGTGTGTTGCCTGCACATATGTAGGTGCACTCGTGTTGTGCATAGCAGCCTGTGGAGCTCAGAAGAGGGCATCGGATTTCCCCCACACAGTGGCTAACTGTCCATAACTCCAGTTCCAAAGAAGAAAACAACTAGGGAGTTGGTGCAGTGACACATGCCTGTAATCCCAGCAACTGGACACTAGCCTGGGGAACTGTCAAGAGTTTGAGGCCAGCATGGGCTATAATGCAAGGTCCAGTCTCAAAAACAAAGATGGGTGGAGAGATGGCTCAGTGATTAAGAGCACTTGCTGCCCGTCTAGAGGACCCGATTTGGTTCCCAGCGCTCGCTTCAGGCAGCTCACCACCACTTGTAGCTCCAGCTCCAGATTCAGTGCTCTCTTCTGGCCTCCTAGGGCACCCCACACATGTACATACACTCACAGACACATCAAAAAAAAAAGTAAAGCTGCCAGGTGTGGTGGCGCACGCCTTTAATCCCAGCACTCGGGAGGCAGGGCAGGCGGATCTCTGTGAGTTGAAGGCCAGCCTGGTCTACATAGTGAGTTCCAGGACAGCTGGGGCTACAGGGAGACCCTGTCTCAAAAAGACTGAAGAAAAAAAAAAAAAGAAAAAAAAAGTAAAGCAGGGACACGGGTAGAGTGCTTGTGTGAGGCCTTGGGCTCCAGTCCTACCAAAACAAAGTCAGCGGAACAAGCTACTTGTAACTTCACAGGTCCCTCACCCTATGTATTACTAGGTGCTTGTTAAGTATTCGCTGGGTAACTTTCCATGTAATTTCAAACAAGAAAGTAGCCTTTATACAAGTCTATCTTTATTTGTAAAAAATATGTAACTGAAGCTAATTTGATTTTTTAAAATCAAAGTTCATTTAGTGATAATATACATTTTATAATAAAATTGTAATAAAATACTGACATTTGATAGTTTAAACAAAGTATCATTCATGTAAAAATCATGTTATAGCATGTAAAATTTAATTAGAAAATTCATGGTTTACAACAGCACACATTTCTTGTGGACAGCTCGAGAATATTATCATAAATTCACTGGACACAGCAGTTCACAGTGAGGCTTGACAGTACAACACAGTGTCTACTGGTTCTGAGACTTGTTAATAAGGTGCATTGGAAATAACTGACTCCAACTACCAATGAGCTGGTATTTCACCGAATAACCACGATCTGTTGGTTTTACAGCATGTCTAGGGATCAGTTACTTCACCGATAATTTAAATGACAGAGACCTGGAGGGAAACACTATTGCCATGTCCTTAACAGGGTCCTCAACAGGAGGCGCTAGCAGCTGCGATCTCCACCATCACAGACAGAAGACAAGTCTGTATTTTACAGTTAAAATTTGTACAAAAGTCAAGCCCTGAAGTTATTTTTTCCCAAGAGAAAAGTTCTGTTAAAACTTTATTTAAAAAAAAAAAAAAAAAAGAAAAAAAAAAAAAGAAAAAAAAAAAAAGAAAAAAAAAAAAAGAAAAAAAAAAAAAGAGAGAGGTAGCATGTGAGAAAGTACTTTTACTGAGAAGGTCAAGCCCCTGTACCACTGAGATATAAATGAAATCACCATCTACACCTAACGTTATCTTCCATCTGAGTCAGACCTGACTCTTGTGTCAAAGCTGCAATGCTGTTAGTAAGCAGTGGTGAGAGAGAGGAAGAACTCGGGGGAATCCCACAAGTCACTATGGCAGCCTCCCTAGCTAGTCGCCTGCAGGTGACACACGGAGTGGCCATGGGGCAGCGTGCTGCAGCTGGGCCAGAGCCCTGGATCAAGACTTCACTTCTTCACGGATCTTACCGTAGAGAGAAAACATCCTTCAGCTCGGAGTCATTGGAATCTTGTTTGAACAGCACACAACTGTTACCATACCATAGATTAATAAATAACTGTCAGCCGGGAACTCAGGGTCTGGGTGGCAGTCTGAATCCACACGCTAGGATCACAGTGCCTGTGCTCTCAATGCGAGGGGATCAGGCAAGGGAGGAGAGCAGTAATAAATAGACCCATAAAATGAATGTCACCTATCAGCAGTGGACAGAGAGCACATACCCTTCCTGTAGTGTAGGTGGGGTTCCCCACAAAGGAAAACCCAATCTTCTGTATAAAAAGAGGACATTTGTCCTGTGTGTAAAAGTCTCTTAACCAAGATGATTCACACCGCTTGTATACACTGAAAGAATAAAAGCATGCTGGCCACACACACACACACACGCATAACAAACGATCGCAGATGGACTGGGAACAGCAGAGGACTGAGGTGCCTGTAATGTCAAAGCTCTGGGGAGGGGACAGCATCAGGAGAGACGGTCACTGTTTCTCAATTCACAAACCAGGGTGCTCCAGAGTTGGGTAATGGGCAGCAACTCTTAAACACAACCAGCTGGTTTAATTTCTTAAAATTGAGAAAACAAAACCAAAACTGCATTTTCGAAAATACTTTGCCATGATTAAAGAAACATTTTTAAAAAAATCAAAACACATTAATGTTGGGACATTGAGCCAAGGTCCTCAGTGGACTAAAAGACAGAATCATACTTCTTAATTAAAAGAAAAAAAAGGCTCCAGGGAAAATGAGTGGTCGTGCATAGCAGGTCAAGAGGCTGGCTTCCAGCAGGCACGAACATGGTGAGTTCTGGGAAAGTGACGCACGCAGGTGGCCGAGGAAGATCATCAGCAGCAGCAGCAGTACCCCCTCCCAGCAGCTGCACTCTGGGCCCAGCAGTGGTGCTCCCTTTCTTACCCAGCCACATTTCAAGCACGCAGGCCACATCATGGCTAGAGGTCCACATCTTCACTCAGGAGCTGCATTCATAACTCCCCATGCACATTCATAAGACACTCACACAGGCTCACAAAGTGATGATCGTTCCATCTTCCTCTAGAAGTTTCTGGTTGGGAGCAAGGGTCTCAAACTCGGTGCTGGGGCTGCCTGGTGCTGTGTTGCCATCATGTGCAGAGGTGAAGCCGTTGTGTCCTGGCTCGAAGCTGAGCTCTATCTGCGTCAAGGACTCCAGACTCTGGGCATCGGTGGCCCTGGGGATCTGTCGGGGCTCTCCACTGTCTTCGATGATGATGTCATCCTCGTCGCTGTCCTGGTCCTCTGGCTCGAAGCTGGCCTCCACCTGCTGAGGGTAGCCTAGCAGGCTATTGTCGGTGGACTGGCCAGAGCTGCCTGAAGTCCGACTGTTCCTGACCACGTTGTTCCTCTGGTTGGCTGGGCGCACGGTGATAATGAGGTTGCGACTGTTGGCTATCATCATGTCAGTTACCTGGTCCAGGCTCTTCCCTGACACCTCTATGCCATTCACTTCCAGCACTTCATCGTTCACAGCCAGCAGTCCCGTGCTCTGTGCCAGGCCCCCGGGAACCAGCCTGGAGATGAAGATCCCAGGGACCTTCTCCAGGCCATGCGGGGTCACCCGAACACTCGAGCCATCCCGGATGTAGAAGCCAAGGGGCTTCTCAGTGCCGTACTTGTAGAGACGGACCCTGCGGTGTGTCTCAGGGAGAATGTCCACATCGATGATGGAAGACACAGGTCTGAAGTCCTGGGGCATGCTGATGACGAGGTGCGGCTTCTTCCTGTGGTTGTCGGGGCGCAGCACGTTGCTCAGCACGTTCTTCCTCCTGATCAGGGTGTCTGTGCCAAAGGCGCTGTAGTCTGCTTCCTCTGTGCAAACCAAACAAGAGCATTACAGAGGCCAGCTCCGAGGCAGGCACACAGCCATTATAACACACACCCAATACAACCAGCCACATCAGAAGAAGCCGCCAGAGGGCTCTCGCAAACACATCTCAAAGTGACCAGCTGTGGAAGTTCAATTTGATAGTGTTCGTTAACTATTAAACATTAACTGGCAAGTGAAATTTTAATAAAGCCAAGTATGGTGGGGCACATCTGTCATGCCAGCACTCAGGAGGGTAAGGCAGAAGGCAGGAGGATCTCAAGTTCAAGGCTAACATGGGTTATATACACAGCCAGTTTGAGGCCAGCATGGGCCACTACACAGTGAGACCCTATCTCAAAATCTGAAAAAGAACAAAACAAAACAACAATAACAACAAAGAAACAAACTCCAGTAGGTCTTACAGGATCGTCCCCTCCCCCTCTTCTCAGCCAGTCTCAAGCATCCCCATGCCTCAGTCTCTCAATAAACTGAATTTCGCTGGCTGTGGTGGTACATGATGGTACACACCTTCAACTGAGGCAGACGCAGGCCAATCTCTTATTTCAAGGTCAGCCTGGTCTACATAGGGAGCTCCAGGCTAGCTGGGGCTGTGGGGAGACCCTGTCTCAAAAAGACCCAAAAGAAAAAATGAAAAAAGCATCTGATCATCAGACTGTAGGTACAGGAATGTTTTACCACACCTAGCTACAACTTTTTTTTTTTAAATTCAAGGTAATCCTCCTGTCTCAGGCTCCTGAGAGATGACATTTCAGGCTTGTATTACCATGCCCAGCTTATAAACTTAATTCCTTTTTAAAAAATATTTTATTTAGCCAGGCATGGTGGCGCACACCTTTAGTCCCAGCACTCAGGAGGCAGAGGCAGGTGGATCTCTGTGAGTTCAAGGCCAGTCTGGTCTACATAGTGAGTTCCAGAACAGCTGGGGCTACAGGGAGACCCTGTCTCAAAAAGACCAAAAAAATTTATTTATTTATTTTTTTTATTTTATGTGTATGAGTGTATTGCCTGCATGTATGTGAGTACACTAGTGTCATGTGGTGCCATGGAAATCAGAAGAGGGCTTTGGATTCCCCTGGAACTGGAGTTAAGGATGGTTCATAGGTGCCATGTAAGTGCTGGGAATCGAACCTGGGTCCTCTGTAAGAGCAGTCAGTGCTCTTAACCGCTGAGCTGTCTCTCCAGACTAATTCTTTTTTTTTTGAAATATTGATTTATTCTCATTATTTTAAATTATGTGGATGTATATGTGTGTCTCTGTGGGGGTATGTGCTTGAGAGTATATGTGGAAGCCAGAGGCATCAAATTCTCGTGAAGCTGGAGTTACAGGATGTTGTGAGTCACCTGATGTGGGTGCTGGGAACCAAACTTAGGTCTTCTGCAAGAGCAGGAAGCATTCTTAACCACGAAGCCATCTCCAGCCCCAGATTCATTTATTTATTTAATTAATTAATTAATTTTTTTTGGTCTTTTTGAGACAGGGTCTTTTTGAGCCAGTGCTCTTAGCCACCAAACCATCTTCAGTTTCAAAACTCATTCATAAAAATCATCTTGGGCTGGTGAGCTAGCTCAGCGGTAAAGGTGCTTGCTATCAAGCCTGAGGACCTGAGATTAGTGGAAGGGAAAACAGATCTGTGACTTCCACATGCATGCTGTGGCACACATACACATATATACAAACAAATATAAAAAAATAATTTTAAGCCTGGCATGACAGCTCACGCATACCTGCAATCCTAGCTCTTGGGAGATAGAGGCAAAATGATCAAGAGTTCAAGACCAGTCTCAACTAAATTTTTTTTTTTTTTGCTTTTTGAGACAGGGTCTCCTTGTAGCCTCAGCTGGCCTGGAGCTCACTATGTAGACCAGGCTGGCCTTGAACTCAGAGAGATCTGCCTGCCTCTGCCTTCCGAGTGATGTAGCCCTGACTGGACTGGAACTTGATATACAGACTATGCTGGCCTCAAATTCAGACATCTGCCTGCCTTTATCAATCTCAAATACCAGGAATAAAGATATGTGCCACCATACCCAGTACACCAGTTTATTAAAAATAATTTTTTTCTTGAGATTCTGTTGCTCTGTAACTCCCTCTCCCTGTGGGTTCTCATTCTTTTGTTTTTCCACTATGGATGGACAGAGGCAGATGTAGGATTTTTAAAATCTCCTGCCACCTGTAAAAGACAAAGTGTATGACACCATCTGTGTTGTGACAGACAAGAGGGAGCCCGAGGGTGACAAGGACTGGCAAACCCAGAGCTCCTGCTCCTGTTCTAGGCAGACTTTTTCTTATGGTAGAAAGCCCCGTTTCCAGGCAAAAACTTCTTTTAAAAATGCTGGTACTTGGGGTGTGTGAGATAGCTCAGTGGGTAAAGGCACCTGCTTCCAAGCCTGCCAATCTGCGTTCAATCCCCAGGACCCACACAATGGAAGGAGAGAACCTACTCCTGCAAACTGTCCTCTGACTTCCACATGTGTACCAAAGGACATACAAACACACTAAAGAAAGAAAAAGAAGCTGATGCCTAACCAAATAACAAGAAAACTTGCTGTGCTTAACCATCGCCTGAAGTTGAAGTCTCTCTTTAAGGTTAATTTACAGTCTAACACAAGCTAAACAGGACAAAGGCCCCCAACTCTACTGTCATGTGATTGAAAGAAGAACACACAAATGAAACATCAGGACCGTGAATGCAAGGCCAAAGGAAAAGGCCTACCTCAGGCCTGGGCGTCGTGTGCAGGCCTATGATCCCAGGACTCAGGAAGGACAGGCAGGACAATTTTGAGTTAGAGACCAGGGTGGGGCTGCACAGTGGGGCTTTGTCTCAAAAGGAAACAAAAACCCAACCCAACCAACCAAGCAAAAAACCAAATCAAAATTAAACTAGGATAAGAATAAACTAGAATGTTCAATTTCCAAAACAGAAAAAAAAACTTCAACACTCCAGAACTTGGGAGTTAGAGGCAGGAGAATCATGAATTCAAGGCCACTGTCAGCTACAGTGAGTTGGAGGCCTGTTTGAGATACACAAGACCCTGTCTCAGGAAACAAGACTCCTTATGTGCCCCTCTCCCTCAAAAAAAAAAAAAACAACAACAACAACAAAAAAAAAAACTAGCTGGAAATCCTGTCTCCTGGAGGCTGTAGACACTCAGATCTCCACCTGAGGATGTACAGAGCTCTGGGCCAGCCACATTCTCACACTGGCCCCATCCTTATCCTCAGTTTACAGGCCAAGGGATTAGAGTACAGAATAATCCCTGTAGATAGGGTGAACCCAGGCTTCCTTACTGGGCTCCCAGGATGAGGGTCAGGTATGGGCATTAGGGCAGGGGACTGCTTAGATTCTCTTGATGCTGTGTGGCCACTTGGAAACCTGGACAAGACTAGAGCCATCCTGTTTCTGGCATTCCCTCTCTCTGGAGACACTTGTCTCCATTTATAAAGAATTCACACTGAATTCTTATACAGATGCTTATAGTTTCATTTGAGAAATAAATCCTTCAATGCATGAGTTTTTGGCAAAATCTCCCTTAAAGCATGTCAGGATTAGTCTTGAGCTGAACTGTTTTTATTTCAAAGCAACCAATAGTGGATGCGTCCATAACAGTCTAGGGAGATTCCAGACCACATAAACTGAGAATGTTACCAAGCGGCCTACATGTTCCCTCATGGGAAACCCGACTGAGAAAACTTGAATCTGCATAATTTGGCATGCCGAGACTCCCTCTGAATGCTCTTCTCTAAATTCTCAGAAGCGGTGCGCCCGGCACAAAGGCACCTCTGTTCTCCCATCTAGCTAATCAGTTTCCAGCCACTGGGAAAGAAATATGCTGGCAGCAGGCCAGGGTGCAGGCTGAGTGTAAAGTGTAAAGGTGACCGTCCAGAAGATCTGGGCTGGTTCTCCATCGAGTGCTGAGGTTGGGAACAGAGGCCATGGGAGTATATGAAAGACCCATGCAGACCTGACTCAGGCCATATAGCGGCACCCCAAATCCCCGCTGTCCTCTATCCTTGACAAAGGGCCACCCAGAAGCCTCTGAGCAACCAGATTGGACATCATCCTTCCTCACACACAGACTCCAGGCTTTACCTACAGAGTGCCCTGCAGGGCCTCTCTGAACTGAGACCTCCTTAAACACTGGTTCTGGAAGCTGGTTCCCACATCCTGAGCTTACTGAGGGCCCCGAGCTTACCGAGGGCCCCAAGCCACACGCTTGGAGTAGGGTGAGCTACACTGTGAGCAGCGGACACAGACAGAAGAAACAAAAGCCTCTGGTGAACAAAAAGCAAACCTGATAAGTAAAATGCTCAGAACCACACCAAGCATTTCCATCCAGGAAAACCAGCAGAGACACACGGGAGAGTTGGGAGGCTCAAGACCATGACTCGTTCCAAGTTTGGAGAAAGACAGGGAAGAATAAAATAGCTGTCCAAGTTAAAAGCTGTTCCTGTGGAGCCAGACAGGGTCACTGGGTCTGGTGGCATGGGCCTGTGGTCCCGGCTACTTGGAGGCTGAGGCAGGAGGATGGGTTCCAGGTCAGCCTGGACACCTGGAGACCCTGTTTCAAAATAAAGGGCTGGCCGTTGCTGAGCATGCACATCTATAATCCTGGCATTGGGGTTAGTATAAGCAGGAGGATCAGGAGGATCAGGAGCTCAAAGTCAGCCTGTTACACAGCAAGTTCAAGGCTAGCCTGAACTACATGAGTCCCTGTCTCAAAAACAATGAAGTATGGGGGTGTGGGTAGGGAACACAGAGTTCATAGCTCAATGGTAGAACACTAGCCTAGCACACATGAAACCCTGGGTTCGTCTGCAGTAATGAGAAGTGGAAAAAAGGAGAAGGAAAAAGCATGGGGTGTGGTGGTGCTCACCTGCCTCCAATACTGAGTCCAGCAGGACTGCTGTGATTTCGAGGCAGTCTGGGCCACACAGCAAGATCTCATCTGAAAAGAGCCAGAAGGCCCATGTTCTGGGTAT